AAATAATTACCCTGTGACCCAAGATCATTAACACTTTTGTATATCTTAGTGTAAGGAGGACAATTTATGCAGTAAATACAACGAAAGTGGAAACTGTATAATTATTAAGGAATCAACTAAACACATCTTAGATGTTTAAAAAACTAGTGTGGTACAAAGCTGAATATTAAATCCCTTAATAGTTTTGAGTAAAAAACGGTATCCTAATGGGTAAAGATAGAATTACTAAGGATTATTAAAATGTTCATTTGCTTCTTATTAAGAACAATTCCATGAAGAACTAGGTAAAATTCTGAAGTGCAAATATTAGAATATAAAATTTTAGTTATCTTAATTGATTGAACTGCATTATTCACTCTTTCAATAAATATTCATTGATTATTATATGCATGGTACTATATACAGAATCTAGGTAAAAAATAAAGGATAATAACAGGACTTCTTTGTTGTAATTGATGATGAGAAAAATTTATGTAGGTGACATTAAGGCATATAGTGAAAGACTGTAATGTAATGGTGCCTGGGTAGCTCAGTCGGTTGAGCAGCTGACTCTTGATTTTGGCTCAGGTCATGGTCTCAGAGTCCTGGGATGGAGCCCCATGTCAGGCTCCACACTCAACGGAGGGTCGGCTTGGGGATTCTCGCTCTCACTCTCTCTCTCTGCTCCTCCCCCACCTTGCACACATGCTCTCTCTTTCTAAAATAAAAAAATCTTTAAAAAAATAAAGAATGTAATTTAATTTACTGGCTGAGGTGGAAAGACTCTGGGGAAGCTAGAAATAAAATTGCTGGGACAATAATATTGAATATCATAAGAAGTTATTTGTGCTTTATTTTGGGGGCAACTGGAGTTATGAAGATCTCAAGTCTGGAGGGTCAGCCTAAAAGCCCCATTTTAGGGGCATGTGGGCAGGCCAGTCAGTTACATGTCTGCCTTCAGCTAAGGTCATGATCTCAGGGTCCTGGAATCCAGCCCCATGTGCGGCTCCCTGCTCAGCGGGGAGTCTGCTTCTCCCTCTCCATTTGCCCCTCCTTCCTGGCTCATGCTCACGCACCTTCTCTCTCTCTCTCTCAAATAAATAAATAAAATCTTTTTTTTTTAATGCCACATTTTAGGGGCTCCTGGGTCAGTTAAGTGGCTGCCTTCAGCTCAGGTCATGATCCCAGGGTCCTGGGATCGAGCCCCATGTCAGGCTCCCTGCTCAGCGAGAGCCTGCTTCTCCCTCCCTCAGCCTGCCTCTCTGCCTACCTGTGCTCTCTATCTCTCTGTCAAATAAATAAAATCTTTGAAAAATAAAAATAAAATGCCACACTTTAGATATATTAATTTGAGGCGGATTAATCAGAAAGGGGCCAAGGCTTAGCACATGGAAGTATATGGCTTAGGTTATGGAGTTTCAGTTAGAATGATCAGGAGGGAAATGACTGAAATGGTCATGTGTCCAATAATATACTGCAATAGTAATACATAAGGGGCAAGGTAAGAGAGCAGAGATGGACAGAAATAGAGAAGTCAAGTGGTAAATTCTGTTTTGAAGAGGAAGTTGGGAAGGCAATTTTTTGTTATATTCTTTAACTTTGAGATGGTGTTTTTATCAATGGAATCTTTTTTCACCAATGGCACATGATCACCGTTCCCACCCCCAGCGCCACTGCCCCCTCTACCCCCATCACCACCTGGACCACCATCTCCACCACCACCTCTGCCATGTCTATCACCTCCGCCGTGCCTACCACGAATCCTGCCATGTCCACCATAACCAAAAGACAAGAATGACAGCCATCGAATTTCCTGAATTCCTCTTACCTTACAGGCACTATAGCAAATGCTTCCTACTTAAGCCTCACAGTTATTATTTTATAAAGTGAGGATAGTGAATTTGAGGTACAGGTATTAGGCAGTTTGCCTGCGATCATAAGCCAATAGTTAAAACAGGCAGGTTTCAAACTTGAGCATTTCTGATTCCAAAGTCCACGCTTTCTTCAATATCTGCCACTCCTTCAGATGCACAGACAACAAATTATAATAAGTAAAATACCTGTACAGTGTGTGAGTAACTCGGTGTGGTTAAATGGAGGCAACAGCTGTTTGCATTTGATTAAAAAAAAAAACAAAACAAAAACAAAACTGAAGCGCTGACTAGATGCACAAGTAGAAGAACATAGTTTTAAAGAAATAAACATGAAATTTAAGGGAGAGAGTCAGATATAGAGCTATAAGTACAATCTGGGAGTCATTTACTTAAAGCCAGACTTGAATCAATGTAAGGAAGCAATTCAAATAAAGAAATGGAAAGAGGCAAAAAACATGAATTTATGAGATACTACCATGATTAGGCAAAAGGTCCTAGAGCTTTCTGTTAGAAAACAAGTCTGTGGTAGGGATGGAACCAGCAGTGTGTCAGAGAAGCTGAAAAAGGAGATCATTTTTAAAAGATGAACATTTAATGGATTGTCAAGACTACAGTCTTGACAGTTAAAATCTAGGAGTTCTCACATGATCAAGAGATGGAAACTAGCTACTGTGAAGCTTACAGTCATATTTGTACGATGCCTCTTGAACCATTACAACATTTTAACCAGATTCCATCCTGTAGACAATTATCACTTACTGAACTGAATTGTCCTAAATGTTCACTTGTGTGTGTTCTTTATTCAGTACAAATTTATCGATCTAGAGTCTTATACAAAGCATCCATATTATTGTACTATCCAAATCTGGACATATTTGAGAGTGAAAGTTGGTGTTATATATAATTATGATGTCACAAAAGACATAACCTGGGATGGATTCAGGGAAACCAAGATATAAGATCACCTTAGTCATATATCTACTGAAGAAACATTTTAGTATCCCAACTAGGTTCTGTGGTAGGCTACCTCAGTTGAAATCCTGGCTCAGGCACTCTGTAGCTGTGTATAATAGTGATAATAGCTATACTTATCCTGTAGGATAATTGGGAAGAATAAACACGCTAAGCAAATAAAGCATTTAATCTAGCACTGAGCACATAACAAAACCATCAATAAGTGTTAGTTTTTGTTTAAGTAATATATCCTTTATGTTCTCAATTGGTCATCTCATTTCAGGCACTTACAAAAACTGCTGACAACATATGATGCAAACAGAATTTAAGAGACAAAATATTTCACCACTAGCCACACTTTCCTGAAAACAAAAAGTAATCAAAACACATTTTTCTTAACCAAATACATTATCCAAACAAGCCAAGAATATGCTTGGCAGGAGCCAAGAGAGAGACTGACATGAATCAACCTGCTCTGCTAATTTCTGTATTAGGAGAATCTTGAACATATTAGGTGGGTAAGACAACTAGGTTTCCATACTGCTCTCCTTGGAAAATTGTTGGAGAGCTGTTGGGTTGTTGCAAAGGATCCATAAATCCATATCTCCACTAAGCATTGTCTGCAGACACATACTTAACATGATGTGAAATTAACATCCATGGTATTGGGTTAATAAAGAGCAGATTCATTAAGAGCTTTACAGATTTATTCTTGCCATTATGTTTTCTCTCCATCAATGTTAAAATTTCAACTACTACCATGAGCAGAGTCCTTGAAAGTTGTTGCCCCAAATAGAACGTTAATTCTTAAAGATTCAGAGAACCATTTGACTAGAATCAGGGGCCCTTCTTCTATGAGGGGCCAGATAGTAAATATTTTAAGGCTTTGTGGACCATACAGTCTCTGTGACAACTACCCAACCCTGCCTTTGCAATGTGAAAGCAACCACAGATGACATATAAATAAATGACTATGGCTATGTTTCAATGAAACCTTCTTTATGGACACTGTCATCTGAATTTCATGTAATTTTCACATGTCAGGAAATATTCTTCTTCTTTTGATTATTTCCCACCATTTAAATGTGTAAAAATAATTCTCAGCTTGTGAGCCATACAAAAACTGGCAGCAAGGTGGATTTAGTCTGCTGGCTTTAGTTTGTTAACCACTGGACAAGAGGATTCACTCAGCCACGTAGATGCAACCAGGGAGAAAAGCCTAGCAGTTGACTGCATAATTATGAAAGCAGGTTATAAATCACAGATTAAAAGAGAAGTATTGAAAGTCCCAAAAAATATACTTGAGTAACTTCTCTAGGTGGTTTTTTTTTCCTTTGCCTAGAACATCTGATGTGCTATTTTTAGGTATGTGTTCTTCTTCTCATACTTCTATACTCGTGTATACATAAATTCTAATGTCAAGTGTTCCATGCCTTCCTAAACATATGCTGCTTAGAAACATAAGGCAGATTTTAATGTTCTTTCTTAATGTTAGAATGATAATAATTGCAGTGAAAAAAAATTGTACCTTTTTATGACTTTCATGCTAGTTTTGCATTTATGAAATTTTATTCTCATCATTTTAATATAGCCACTGATGTACTTAATACCTAACTTATCTATAATGTCTAGTTGAAAATATCCACAAAAAGATGAGTTAAAAATTCTAACACCTTCAAGATAAGACTTTAAAAATATCAAAGAACAGGAAATCTATTGTGTAATTACTCCTGATTTAGGATGTGCAGATTGAGACATTATGTTCTCATAAACTAGCAGAATGGATCTCATCTATTATAGGTGTACTTCTTCTTCATGAAAGTGTACTTTCTACTACTGGGAAAAAAAGACATTTAATGCAAAGGGAGGCACTGAACAAGTAGGCTCTTTGTAAGAGAAAAAAAAAAGAAACTTTCAGGATAAAATGAGTCCATGGCAGTTCATCACACGTGGTTTCCTCTTTTAATCCAGAAAACAATATTTCCACTGAGCATTCAGTTTTGGTTGGGATGGTGATTCCGTGGGCAAATTTTAAAATTTATTTCACAATTTTCTAACTTAACGGCCATGTCAGGTACCTGAGGCTTCTGGAAATATTGTTTAAGTAACAACACTGCGATCCAAACAGCTATAAATGTTTTCCTGCTTAACAATTACTTTTTGCTTGAGGATAAAGCCATGAATAAGAGCCTCTCACCTTTTCCTAATTTCCGAATCCACAATAATCTGCCTCTTCTTTTGGGGAGGTGGCGGTGGCAGTTCCTCTTGGGCATGCTTTACCAGAATTTGTTCCCTCGTGGTCACCATAGTTACCGTTTCCATTACAGTTGTCTGTGTTAGTGATGGCTGAGTGGTGGTGACAGCCTGTGAAATCTGGGAGAAGTATTGAAACAGAGGTCACACACTGTTTGAAAGACTTCAGTAAAGCCTACTTGGAGTGGTGAAGGAAAATAATGAGAAACTGTTCCTGCTTGTTGCTAAATTGACCTTCAGATCAAAATAGCACCATATTGAACCCAAATCAAATTGTTTTATCTGACTTAAATTATGTTGACTTAAATCACAAAGGAAAGTCATCTCAAAACCGGAAGTAAACTTAGTGTCTCTTCAATTTATTGGTCAAACTATGGAAAATAAAGGGGGGGGGAGGCAAAGGAACAAAACCTAAGTTTTGTCAGAGTGTCACTCTGACAGTTAATTAAACATGCTGTTTTAAGTGTTTACCACGTTAATGTAAATTTTACTAAGGTATCCCAGCACCAATTTCATCACCTTGACCGACTACAGATGTTTATTAGTGTGTTGAATGCATCTTTGGTTATCATATATAGTAATTAGTTATAGTCCATAAATTTTTAAATAAAATCTTTTGAACTTTACAATAAGTGACTTTTTAATCAAATAAGTACAATGTCCTTTAAAATTACAATAAAAGGTTAACATAAAGTGCCTATTAGTCCAGTACATTTAACCTGAATGTTATTCAAAAGCTAAAAAGCACACCACCCTTGTTTAACTAATGAGTATGTTAAAATATTTGAGTCTCCAAAGTTAGCATTAAAGATACTTCCTGGTTTAGAATCACGCTAACTTTGTGTTCACACTTCTAAAAATTATCTTTTAAGCACAGATCATCACTCCTTGGAATAATATGGTGTGTGACCCAAATCCTGAGAAGCCATCACCTCAGTAAATGGGCATTACCAGATTAGCTATATAATGGCGAGATACTTTTCCTTCCTTCCTCAACCACCAACTCTCTGTCTCACAGCCCTCCTGTTATTAGAACTGAATAGTTACCGGTTGAGATGTTAATCATTATTACCCTTTTAGTAATCTAAATCATTTGGAAGACCTATTTACAAAGAGACCAAAACAGGCCTGCATTAGATCCACTTATAGTTACTTGATATGCACAGAGCCAGGGATCCGGTTGAGGTCAAGATTACTTTGACTGACTTTCCTGAACTTGCCAAGAAATAATGGAAAGGGTTTGGGATAACCTCCGTGCCTCACACATGACTGATTCCTTCAATGGGAGGAAATCAGAGAAGCCTCAGGATCTTCTTATTGCAGCTTCCGAAGAGGCAATTGACAGTGGAGTAATGAAATCTTTTGTCATGATGTCTTGTGTAAAAATTGCTTTTGACAAGGGTAGAAGTGCTACCCTTACACATGTCAAGGCCTTAGAGACTTCTATTTTGGTAGCCTAAATAGTTTTTTTTTCTTTTTTTTTTTTATTCTTAT